TGAATAGCCTCCACCTCGTGGCGTAGGCCCTCACGGTGGACGGCGCCCTCGCTCCCTGAATGGTCTCCACCACCGCAGGGGGAAGACCCAGATCTACGAGGCTCCGCCTCTCAACCTCCAAACCCAGAGCCTGCGGCCGATTATCGGACGTGAAAACAGGGCTCCTGCCCCCTGGACTAGAGCCCCCGGCTCGTCCGGGAGGGCCCAGGGCTCCATCACCGCCATGCCCCTCAGGAAGGGGAACCACCGGGCATGCGGACTGTCCGGAGCCACCAGGATCACCGATCTCCTCTCCTGTTCGATCCTCCGCAGCAGGACCGGCAGGAGACGCACCGGTGGAAAAGCGTACAACAGGCCGCCTGGCCATGGGTAATGAGCCAGAGCGTCCACGCCTAAAGGCGGCTCGTCCGCGGCCCTTAAGGCGAACCAGGACGGGCACTGTGCGTTCTCTGCACTGGCGAAAAGGTCGACCACTGGACGGCCGAACCTCCGCCAGATCTCCGCAGCTACCCGTGGGGCCAGGCCCCACTCGTCCTGGAGTGGGCCCCCCCTGGACATCCTGTCGGCTCCCACGTTCCGGACCCCCGGGACGTGGCGCGCCCTGAGAGACAGGAGGTGAAGCGCCGCCCACAGCAGCGTCACCGTCGCCATGCGATGGAGAGCGGGGGACCTGGTGCCCCCCTGCCTGTTCAGATAGGAGACCACTGTGGTGTTGTCTGAGCGCACCATCACGTGTCTCCCCTGCAGCTGAGGGGCAAAGTGCAGCAGTACTCTGTGCACTGCCTCCATCTCCAGCAGGTTGATGTGACGGGCTGAGTCCGACCAGCAGCCTCCTACAGAGCTCTGGCCGAGGACCCCGCCCCATCCTTCGAGCGACGCGTCCGTGAACACCTCGACCACTGGACGGCCGAACCTCCGCCAGATCTCCGCAGCTACCCGTGGGGCCAGGCCCCACTCGTCCTGGAGTGGGCCCCCCCTGGACATCCTGTCGGCTCCCACGTTCCGGACCCCCGGGACGTGGCGCGCCCTGAGAGACAGGAGGTGAAGCGCCGCCCACAGCAGCGTCACCGTCGCCATGCGATGGAGAGCGGGGGACCTGGTGCCCCCCTGCCTGTTCAGATAGGAGACCACTGTGGTGTTGTCTGAGCGCACCATCACGTGTCTCCCCTGCAGCTGAGGGGCAAAGTGCAGCAGTACTCTGTGCACTGCCTCCATCTCCAGCAGGTTGATGTGACGGGCTGAGTCCGACCAGCAGCCTCCTACAGAGCTCTGGCCGAGGACCCCGCCCCATCCTTCGAGCGACGCGTCCGTGAACACCTCGACGTGAGACACGGCGCAGGCCAGAGTCACTCCGTCCCGCAATAGACCCGGAGTGAGCCAGAACCTGATGTCCGATGCTGCCCCTTGGGGAACCCAGATCAGCCTCCCCCCGTCCCGGGAAGGGTGAAGCCTGAGGCGCGAGAACCACCTCTGAAAATTTCTCATGTGGAGCAGGCCTAGCCGCACCACAGCATGAGCCGCTGCCATCATTCCCAGCAGGGACCTGAGGCGCCGAGCGGGGACTCTGGGGCCCGCCAGAACCTCCCGGGCCAGACGGGTAATATTCATCCGTCTGTCCACGGACAATGCAGCACGGAATATCACAGAGTCTAGCTGCAGACCGAGATAAACCATGCGTTGGGCTGGCTGCAGCTTGCTCTTCTCCCTGTTCACCACAAAGCCCAGACGCTGTATGTGGGACAGGACCCAGTGCGTGTGGCTCAGGGCCACTTCCCTGGATGGGGCCAGTATTAACCAATCGTCTATATAGGTTAATATTCTTACCCCCGCACGTCTGATCGGCTCCAGAGCTGCTTCCACACATTTGGAAAAAGTCCGAGGCGCGAGTGCGTACCCGAAGGGTAGACGGCAGTACTCGTAATTCCTCTCTCCCACTGCGAAGCGCAGAAACCTCCTGTGTTCTGGCACTATGGGCACGTGGAAGTACGCATCTGTCAGGTCTATGGATGTCATCCAGTCTCCTTCCCTGACACACTCGAGGAGCTGCCTTGTGGACAGCATCCGAAACTGCCGTTTGGAAATGCACTCGTTTAACACGCGCAGATCCAGAATGGGACGCACCCCGCCTGATTTCTTTGGCACTAAGAAGTAAGGGGAGTACAGCCCCCTGGTGGCGTCCTGCGGGTCTACCTCCACTGCTGCGCCTCGACTCAGCGCAGAGAGGAGACCTCCGCTTGTAGTGCCTCTGTCGATCCCCGTACCTGAGAGCGTACTGCCCGTACGCCTCGGAATGGTGGTGGCTTTCGGAAAAATTGCAGCGCGTAACCTCTGCGCAGAGTTTTCTCCAGCCAAATATCTGTCAGTAGGCCCTGCTCTCTCCAGATGCTGTAGAAATCTGTGAGGGGCGGAACGGGAGTTGGAACACGAGACGTCACGGCCCCGCCCTCTCCTGGTGTTCCTAGCAGGGAGGGGGGGTGGCTGAAGGGCCGGGGGGGCCCCTGCGTCACACCGTGAGCGCCGAGGGCGGTCACGTGTTCTGCAGGCCCGACGTCATAAGTACGGGACTGCTCACCACACGTGACCCGGCTGCTGTATCAGAGATGCTAACACGCGTTCGGCTGGAGCACACACATTATCACTTACCAGATCCCCCCGCCTGCCCTCTCTCCGGGAGGGCAAAACATGAACCCGTGAATCGGAGCCCGTGGCCCGCATAGCACGCTGCACGCCCTTCTCTGCGGGCTGCAGGCCTAGCGGAGCCACGTTATATGCTCGAGAAGTAACACAATCAGAATTCAGATCATTTGACATGTTACATACCCCCAAATGAGACTCAGACAGCGAGTACTGATGAAATGCCGCACGGCTTTTATTGAAAGAATTCTTCCCACCCCGACCTCCTCTGCCATAGGGAGGTCGTCGGTGGGTGCGTTGGTCCCGCGAGCCTCCCGTGTGCCTGTCTGGGCCCGGGGGCCTCGTCGCTGGGGAACGATGAACCACGGAGCGTGGATATGGTCCGGGGCGCCTGCCGGGCGAGCGCTCCCTGCCTCTGTCTCGGCTCCGCGCTGGTGGGCGGGCCTCACGTCTCGCAGCTAGATGCTGGGCTAGGCTAGCAGAGTCCTTAGCTGCGGTGTCCAGCCTAGTTATCAGCGTCTGCATCACCGGACCGAAGAGTGACGTTTGGGAGATGGGCAGGTCCAGCAGCTGCCTCTTCTCCGCCTCTCTGAGGTTCACCGGCCCCAGCCAGAGGTGTCTGGCCCCCACTTGTGCTGCTGCCATCATGCGGCCGCCATCGACAGCTAGCGCCTGGCACAGGCGCAAGATCGCTGCTGAAGTGGTCCTCGCCTGGGATAAGGTGTCTCCACTGAGCGCCTGGCCAGAAGAGAGAGACCTATCCAGGGCCCCGGTGATGAAGGCCATGTTGTTAGCCACCGCGACGACCTGAGCCGCATTGGCGTAACATCTATCGTGCATCGCCAAAGACATCCTATCCCGCTCGGAGGGAAGGAGAGGTCTAGTGCCGGGCCACACGGATGCGGAGGGGTGCAGGGCCGCTCGAACCGAGTCCTCGATGTCCGGGACCAGTCCTGCACGTTACAATACATGCCGTACCCCAAAGCGGGCCTCTTGGCCGCTAGGGGCTTTGGCCACTCACGTGTCGCGTAATGGACGATCGGGTCCATACGCGGGCACAACGTGGGCTGTGCTCTCCTCCTCCCTCGAGTGGTGGCGTAACCAGAGGTGAAGTCCTCCACCCTCTGGTTCGGTTGCGGTGGCAGGGGGGCATCCATGATGGCCGCCGCCGTGGAGTAGAGCCCAGGCATGTGGTCCAGCGGGAAGCGGTCCGGCTCCGGGTTGGACACCACCTCGTCCAGCGTGAGGAGAGAGCCGACCTCCGACACCTCTCCGTCCTCGCAGTCACCCCACTCCGCGGGCACGGGTGGAAGGTCGAGGGGGGCCCAGTCAGTCACAGACTCCTCGTCCTGAGAGGAGTCCGGACGGGGAGCTGTAGCGGCGAAGAACGCGCGCCTGCGTTCACTCTCCTCCCTGGGGAGAGCGAGACACGAGGCGCAGGTGGCGCTCAACGCCGCATGGCCCGAACCCAGGCACACGAAGCAGCTGGAGTGCTGGTCCTTGCGCTGGAGCTTGACCCGACAAGTCGAGCAACAACGACGTCCGACGCCGGATGGCAAAGGGGAACTCGGACGAGCATCAGAAGACATCTTTCCTCAGGTAAATTGAAATGTAGATCTCAATCGGCGCCAGAGTGAAAGAGGGGGTACAGCCTTGTGCAGGGGCATTTATAGAGGAAGGTGGCTGGTGATTGGAGCAAATTATTTTGATCTCTCTGGCGCGTGACCTGGGGGTCACGAGTGATATCCCACTAGCGAAGTCCTAAGGGACGTAGCACCATGACGTAGAACAGATAAATTACATAAAACTACTATTTGGAGCTATTGCGATGGATTGATGGATGTTTTAAACTGTCACTGAGCTCCACCCCATTTTCTGCATTTAAAAACACTGAAATGTTTTGTTTTTTTCTTACAAAATCACAAGCTTGAAGTGTAAAAACCAATATTACTGGCACTCATAGCTACATGTCATGTTAGTGCCATATGAACCAACTCAGCCACGGAGGAGCACAGGGACTGGCCTCCTGCTAGTGCCAAGAATTAGAACTAAACATAGGGAGGCCGTATTTCAGATCTTGGCAGCTAAATTCTTGAGCAGTCTTCCTGAAAATGTCAGACAAGATTTTTCTTTCACAATGTACAACTGAAGGATTTTATCTTTATTCTTGCAAATCTACTGTGATTACTTCTTTACTACTGATTTGAATGCCTTGTATGATTGGTTCTTTTATCTTGTGCAAGAATTGTGCTAAACAAGTAAACTTGCCTTGCCTTTTGGCATATACTTTTGCCTATACAACTAGTTGCTTTGTGTATCCTTTTGTTATTATCTTTTTAATGATGATTTAAGTTGTTCATACTTACATCTTGGTTCCTGTGCTCTTCCTAATAACTTGAATGCCGAATGGATTATTGACGTATTGGACCTTGTACTTCCTCTTGCTCTCATCTGTCTCTGGTGTAGTTGGGACGTTCAGTGTTATAGGGACCTCATAGCGCTCTGTACTTGGATCCCAAATCTAGCAAAAATAATGCATTATCACAACAGAAATACTCCTTTTGTCTTGTAGATGTGTAATACCTTAAACTGCAGCAGGTCAGCAGTGTGGTAGAAGACTTGGACTTTCAGAGTGTTAATGTCCGGAGAGCCAGGGCGGTTGGTGCTTCTGTGCTTAGCATTTCTCTGGACTTCCAATGTTATTCCTGAGTCTGTCTCACTAATGGATGTCACCTTGTATCCATAATCGTCGGGGTAGTAGCACCATGGAACCTTCTCAAAACTAGATGGCTAAAGAAAAAACAAAAAATTGATCCAAACAACAACAAAGAAACACCTTGAATCTCTATCATAGCAATGTGTTTCTTTACAGCTGGAGTATAACCAAAAATAATACTGTAATAGAATGTATGTAACTAGTTCCTCACTCTCAAGACACATCTGTCACTTGTTTTCAATTTTGTTCCTATTAACAAATGTAAATTTCAACAAAACAAAAAAAATTGAGTTTGCAAGCAAACACAATAAAAAAAAAAAAAAAAAACATGTTTTAACCAAAGTGCTGTAGTTTTTCTTATTATCTAGTTCTAGACTTTTCTTTTATCAGGCTGTAGCAGATCCTTCACATTTACAGAAACAACTAATAGTTTGCAAAGACTGTTTAAGCTTTTTGGCATGCAGACAATAAAAACAATGATTTCCATGTAATGTGAATTCTTTTGGTTTCTACTGCAGGTGTTATTTTTGTTTCAATAGACATTCTTCTTACTGCATAACTTATATAATAATAATAACAAGTATGACATAGATGCGTAATTACCTTCCAGATGCAGCCGCGAGCCTGGCATTTCGCCTGATCAGCACCCTCTTCAGGATGGCAGTCGAATCTCTGGAAGTCCGGATTGGCCTGATTCCACTGGACAGTATAGGACTCTCCCAGCGTCATGGACAGGCCCCGCAGCATCAAAACCTAAACGAGCACATCAAAAGAGGACAGTTAACTTTCAGTGAGCCTGGTATAACTTGCATAATTAGTATATTTTGAAGCAACATTAACATGGATTGTGCTGTATCCAGTTTTGTCTGCACACCCCTGATGCCCAACACAGCAGTTAAATTATTGTGATATGTTTGAGCTTTTTTTATTGTTCCTTTTTGGTCACGTATGTGGGGACCCTATATTAGGAATGGACTGATCAAGTTTGTACTCATAATGTTTACCAAATGGACAAGAAGCCGGTTTGAATATAAAGTAGCTGGAGCCAATTTCCGTGTATGGGCATTTGTTCTGAACAGGTTAGCTTTGCACAGTAGCAGGGTCTGAGACATGTTGCTAGGATGGTTGTAAGCTGGAGTTTATCCTGTGAATGAAGGCTGATTGGTAAATCCATATGGCTTATACTGTATCTGAATTTACAAAGACAATATCAAAATAAATAAAGATACCAATATCATAGAAATCGCCACAACACAGATATTAAAGGCCAAAATGATGAGTGTGACACAAGTCAATAGTAGCCAGAGTGAGTTGGAGCATATTGGGATTCATTGTCCATCTACTATATAAACAGTCTATAGTGGGGGTGGTCTCTCTTTTACATAATTCACATAATTTGAGCACTATACTAGGAACTTGTATTGTTCTTTTATATTTATGTTAAGAGTAAGTAATGTGTTGAATGAAATTCAATGCAATGTCTGTCCACTGAAAGAACAATCTACCAATAAAGTAAACTTGAACCTGGTACATAAAATTGTGCCTCTCCTTGCTTTTTATGCCACCATATCCATCTGCCATCCAGATGGATTTTTGATGACCTTAGCAGTAAAATGAGAATACAGGAAGTATTATTAAAGCCAACAAAAGCCAAGTTTGATTCTGTTGAAATTGCAACAGGAGTATTTGGACCTTCTTCTTTGCCACTTCCCATCAGGCCTGGGAGCAGATTGAGGCCTGCTTGAAATGCAGTGGCTGTTCTCGGTTGCATGTGCCGTCAATTAGGACACAGCTGTTAATTTCCCTGGCTGTTTCAACAAGCTCTGGTGGGAATTATGAGTCACTCTTCTCAGCCTTCTGAGGGAGCCCCATTTACTCCAGTCACTACATTCAGAGTCATCTAGGCCTGCTTGCATCGCCTTCAGAGCAGCTTTGGCTCACGGGGCCATTTCAGATGGCAATTATGCACCAATTAGGTAAAATCTAAGAAATACTGCACAAGGACCTGATAATGCAGATTTAAAATAGCAGATAAAATGTTGCAGGTGTTGCGTTGATTATTTTATATTGAATTTTCTCATACCGTTCCCAAAATGAGACATTCACTTTTGATGTTTATTTTTGTTGTCAAGACAATGAAATGAATGTGACATCGCAACATATTGTATCAAAGGGAGAAACAATATTGTGCATTAATAAAGCAGGTATCCCAAATGTGACATTGCAACATATTGTATTGTGGGGAGTAGCACTATTGTGTATTGATACAGTAGGCAAACCAATACTTTAGCTGTAATGTAATCCCTTCAAATGTGAATATTAGTTCCCAGGAACTGACACAATATTCCCTCACTATCTGCTTTTTGTTCTTAATAGTTTGAACATAAGCCAATTTGAATTAAAGTGTACGAAGGTTTATTTTATTTATTTATTGTTTATTTGGTTGGGATTGTACATGTTAATGAACACATCACTCTGGATTGTAGCCCTGGGCTATTTTCATCCGTTGTCCCACATTCGCACTCTCAAACACACACTCATTCACCCTGAACTATTGCACATGTTTTAAGTGGTAGGGGAAACCGGAGTACCCGGAGGTAACCTATGCAGACACGAGGAGAACATGCAAACTCCACTCAGAAAGGCCCTGTTCCGACCGGGATTCGAACCCAGAACCTTCTTGCTGAGAGTGCTATCCTCTCAGCCACCATAGGGTGTAGTTAGGGAACTCTTTTTAAAAAAAATAATTCAGCATTTGCTATGTGTCCCTCGAGATTGGCATGTATAATAGATGAGAAATGTCAAACCTTTATTTATTATGATGGTGATAATTGTGGCTCACAGCTTGTAAAAACCCCAAAAAGGAAATCTCAAACATCTAAAATATTTTGAAAATGCACTATAAGCCATAATCATGAACATTATAACAAACACAGGCTTGGAATATGTCACTTTGCATTTAAAGAAAATTACGAAAACTTTTAAACAAAATTCTAGTTTCTTAGAAAACAATAGGAATACTGCGACTCTACTTACACTGCTGCCCGGTTAATCTATTAATTAATCTATCCAACCAGAGTGCCGTTGTATGCCATTGTTACTAATACATTCCCCCGATAATGGTTTGTCATGTGTTGGTTGTGAGGATACTGTACCATATACTAAAGTGTAATGGAAAAATAACCAGATAGAGTAAATCTAAATAGAGTAGGGCCAAGAAGAGTAGGGCTGGTGGACTCCTGATCCTTTTCCCCCATAGAGCAGGAGGCTGATACTTTGTTATTGTATTAACATTGAAATAGCTCTCATGCCACTTACAGTCTGAATAATCTGCTGAAAAAAACCACATTGTCCAAACTACACTTGCCTGAAATATGGGCCCTAGTCCGATTTGAGCTAACCCTGTGGAGAATTGGCGTTTTGTTGCACCTGTTTATTGACCTAAATGTGTTTTGTCGGCTGGCCGCTCCTCTCAAGGTCCGGTCGGTCCAGGCGTGCAAAGACTGATAGACATGACAAATCAGGTTAGTCGTAACAGCAGGCTTACCCTTCACCCTGAGGAAATGATTACTGCTGAGAATCATTTGATAAAACCAGACGGAGGCCTTGAGTGCCCACATAAACAATCACATTCCGTTGCGCGTGGATACGTATGGATGCCATGTCTGTTAACAAACTATAGCAGCAATAACAAAGATGGCGGAACCCTTTGAACTGTGACATTTTACACACATGACGCTAACAGATATTGCTTCTGTCACTTAGACGCTAACCTTGGACGGCCAGTAATCGTTTCCTGCTGATTTTATAGAAATAAATGGAAGTAGTTGCGCTCCATGTGGTTTCTATCCAGTCATGTTACTGCAAGGTTTTCCTCATAAAGTGGATTTATGGTGCCATGTTTGGGAGGCATTTTTTTATATGGCGTGTTGCAGTGACGAGTAAAGGCTTGGGAAGCTACAAAACAACGCGGTCATTACAGGTCAACGAAGATGCCATTTTGTGTCAAATAAAATGTTGTAAAGGAATGTTTTGATCCGCATCTAGTTTTATAGTAGATGTTGAGGTCTATTGAAGTAGGTTAAAGATTGAGTCCCTCACTGTACACAATGAAAATATTTTTTGTGTGTTCCAACAGAAACAGAAAACAAGCAAATTGTGTTTTTTATGCTTTAAAAAAGAGCCTTGTGAGTCACTTTTTGATGTTTTTGGCTGAGATCTGAGAGCTGAGTGAAGGTAGTCCTCTCTTTTCCACTTTGCTTATCTAAAAAAAAAAAAGATCTAAATATGTGATTAGTATGTGAAAACTATGATCATAACCTAATTCAATTTTTTATGGTTTGAAAGTTTGGCTTTAAGTGTACTTCCTGATTTTCTTTCACTCCACTTTAAATTAAGTGCATTCAATGTAATACTTTGTTTTACATTAATAAATGTATACATACAATACAGTGCTATTCAATACAATATACACCTCATTGAGCAAATAACATTCTGTACAGATGTAAATTGAGGAAGCGATACATTCTCAAGGATAATAATAGTGATTCTATATTGTGTGTTTACCTTCTTGTTGTTGTCGTGCTGGATGCTGTCAGCAGGCAGATATGTTATGGCTCCGGTCGCCGTGTGCCTGACGCTGACATTTGAGGGAGCCACCAGTACACCCAGGATAGTGACATCTTCAAATTTCAGGTTGTTGGGGTCCATGTAGCCGGCATGGATGGCCTGAAGTGCGAGCAGTCCCTAAAAAATAAGGCACTAATGTAATAATAAGGTATGTTTGGTGTCCTGGGATGAACACTATCCATAGAAACAAGACAAAAAAAGGTTTTGCAAATAAAAAGAATGAACATGGCCATAAATTGCACAGAGAAGAAAGGGTCAGAGAGAGTTTGGACCAGTGTCATGTCCGTGTGTGTTGCAGCCAAATGAGCATCTGCTTCAACAAAACCCCTTTACAAACTATTTATTTGATGTTATGAATCTTTTTTTTTATTGTATCTGCGTTGTATCCAAGTTTGAAATCAATAATTACTTCACTAATAAATGAAAGTTGGACAGGATTATACTGTTGGATTTTTCAGACAAGGAAAACCTGTTATTCAGTGGAATTCATTTTTATTGGGGTAATTATTGATTAGATTGTATAAATGTATAAGGGCTGGAAGCTAACTATCATGTACTGATTTACATGGTTCATGGCATGTCTAATATGTCTATACTAGTCTAACTGACAGTGCTACCGGAGGCCATGGTTACCAAGGAATTTCCCTGGATACTAGTTTATTAGTGGGTAGATTGCTAGAATACATTACCAGATACTAAAGCATAATGGAAACCCAAGCAGGTACCGGTGACCGAGCTGTAGGATTGGTCTAAATAGGGCTATGGAGCAATGTGTACTGATGGTACTTTTACAATGGATGGTAATTCAGGTAATTTTAATCTAAACTGACTGAACCTCCAGCACAAATACTCAAAGCCTTCTTGGTCTTGCAGAGGTTAAGCCAGGGCATTCTCTGTAATAATAAACCTGCTGGACTCTGAGCTCTGAGCTGCATAAACATGTGAACAGCTCTCTGACAATCCAACTAAGCTCGGAAAGAAAAGAACACGGATCAATCATTAGTGCTGTTCCGGGCATTGGGGAAAGTTTTATCTCCCAGTAGTGCTTTGGATGGAGAGGTAAAGTCCAGATCAGAGGAATACCGCTGGTGTGAAAGACAGTAGAAATCTTACATTGACGACTGTAAACTGGTAGTGGATGTAGTTTTTCTTTTCCACCGTTTCTGCATAGAGACGAAACAAAAGCTGGTTAAATCGGTTCCCAATATGCAACACTGGCGTGACCTTTGCTTGGTCATGTGTGCTACTCGGAGCCAAGCAATATGAGAGCTCAGAAGAATCAAGCTAATGTGTGATTGGAAGGAGATGGAGCAGGCGCAAATAGTGAGAGGGATAGAAGAGTACCGCGTGTGTCTCCGTCGTCCCAGAAAAGCTCCCCCATGGCCTGGCTGTTGTCATCGAGAGCCACGATCAGGCCCATGGGGTTCGTGCGGCTGCAAGGAAGCAGACACAAGCAATATTCACACGTTAGAAATCACAGAGGACACGTGTTAACTGTTCACTTTGCAAGCTGTTGTATTGATGAAGAAATAGTATGCATTATTTTTGGCCATTCATAATGATAATGCAACTCATTTCTTTGTCATTTCATGTTTTAGAATTTGAAATATTATCGAAAAGATATAGTGAAACAAGTATTAATGGCATGAGAGTGTTTCTAGACAGAAGAGACGGTTACATTTCTACAACAGTTCAGCATGGATGAATCTGAAAACAAGTCCAGGTCAATTTTTTTAAGAGAAAAAAATGTGTATCATGGTCAATGGTTGGAGGCTATGAGGTGGCAGTGCGTCTTCTGTCATTGCCGTGTGTGGAGTGTGAAAATGTTGGTACTCCACAAACATGGTGCTTAATGTGACCTTGGTCTGTGAAATGCGCTACATCAATAAAGATTTCTTACTTACATTGTCTCCTTTAAAGAGGGCTTGTGCATTTGGCCATTAATAATTATAATGAGACTATTCACAGTGTAATTTAAAGTTTTGGAATGTGAAATAATATAATAACATAAAATATACATGGTGAAACGACCACCTACCACCAGAGGGAGGAGTTGAATTTGTTTTATTTTTTGAAAATTACTGGTGGCAAACAATCAATTGTACGACACCACCCTCATTGGACTCATCTCCAACAACGATGAGTCCGCCTACAGGAGGGAGGTGGACCGGCTGGTGTCCTGGTGCAGTGGTAACAACCTGGAGCTGAACGCCCAGAAGACAGTGGAGATGATTGTGGACTTCAGGAAGAGCACTGTCCCCCCGCCCCCACCCTCCGTGATGGACTCCCCCATCACCTCTGTGGAGTCCTTCCGTTTCCTGGGCACCACCATCACCCAGGACCTCAAGTGGGAGCCGACCATCAGCTCCCTCATCAAGAAGGCCCAGCAGAGGATGTACTTCCTGCGGCAGCTCAGGAAAGCCAAGCTGCCTGCACAGATGTTGGTGCAGTTCTACACGGCCATCATCGAGTCCATCCTCACCTCCTCCATCACCGTGTGGTTCGCTGGAGCCACAGTCAGGGACAAACAGAGACTACAGCGCATTGTGCGCTCTGCAGAGGAAGTGATCGGCCGCAGCCTTCCATCGCTGCAGGACCTGTACGTCGCCCGAGCTCGAGGCCGGGCTGGTCGTATCACAGCCGACCCCTCTCACCCTGCACATGGACTATTCCAACCACTCCCCTCAGGCAGGAGGCTGCGGTCCATCAGGACTAGAACCTCCCGCCACAAGAACAGTTTCTTCCCCTCTGCTGTTGGACTCTTGAACACTTCTTAACCTGTCCCCCCGCCCTTTATAAAGTCACTTTACTGCCCATCATACGTCACTTTACTTCACTGTACTGCTGTCACCTTACATTGTGTGCACCATGTGCACTTGTATATTGTAAATAGTAACTGTAACTCTATTTTAAATTTAAATTTATTCTTTAGAAGTGTTTTTTATTCTTATTTTTATTATCTCTTTTTGACTGTTGCACTGAGCCAAAGCAATTTCCAAGTCTGTGACCTCCCGTTACTTACGTTGGCAATAAAAATGATTCTGATTCTGATTCTGATTCTGATTCTGAATTGTAAAGAAATTGATAATATGCCAATACAAATTTAGGGGTAATGCTTAGTTATAATTAAGTTATAATGGTGCAATGGCGTCATACTATGAAAGGACTGAGACAGCGGCTTATAAACAGAGGGGGGCAGAGTTACATGTTTGTGACAGAGGTTCCTGATATTAGCGTGGGTGGATATAAAAACAACTCCAGGTCTGTTTTTGACCCAATGCTGTAACATGGTGAAAAGAGAACGCTGACTAATCAGCTCATAAAAGACAACCGTCATCACTCATTTTCTGAAGTGCTGATTAAGTCATGGAACATTTTGTTTAATAATGGGGAGTCAGTTCATTTACTGCTGCTAGATTAATCGCAATCGAAATGAATTGCTCTTTGATCAGGCTCAAATAGAAAATCGCAAAGACTGCAATTATTGTCCTTTGCAAACAAGAAAATATGCTTTCCCAGAAGTATGTGGATAATTCATGATATGTATATAAAATGTTGCTTTGTGCAGTAACAGTGTAGTTATTTTGTTCATCACTAAAGCATGGTCCATGTTTGGTTTTTTATGGGTTTCTACAGCTGCGAGTCAATTACGAACATCATAAGAAATAAAGACTTGATTAGGGTGTCTCTCAGATCTGTTTTTATTGAAATAATTCTTTGGACACGCCTATTATATCTAACTTTGCATGTAATGTGTCTGTCATAATATAGTTTCACATGATTAACAGAAGTAAGTGGATATTAAAATTTTACGAGTATCTGTAACTGTTTATTGGATAAATATCTCTGCATTTTCCAGTACCTGTGTGTAGTGGTGACTGCTGGTTGCTGCGTGGGAAGAATGGCTCCTCCTCTGATGTGTAAGCCCAGCTTGTCTCCTGGGATGTACATGTTAACAACCTGCTTGCGTGGCACTATTTTCTCCATCTGGAAATAAATAAAATATACCTAAAGTACAACAAATGCAGCATGACACGTGATAAATATAACAAGGCAAATTATGTAGCTTTGATTTGGTGGTGATATTATTTAAAAGTGTGGCTGGCAGACTGTGTAGGTGCCTTAGAGAGCACTTGGTGTATTTCGGTGCGTGTAGGTGCAGGTGTCCGCGGGGCACAGGGGCCGGCCTCAAGTGGACTGTCATTAGTAAACATGAGGAGGCTAGTGTTCTCCATCAGCAGAATTAGTCAGAGAATATTCACTTTTCAGGAGTGTGGTTATTTTTGCAGATGTGGACATGGTTAGAAATGGTCAATACCATTTTTCGAATAGGTGGATTGCATATGTTGAATTATTTGTATTTGTACTCTCTGGGTTACAGTCCCTGTACATAAATACTGACCACTGACTAAGCCGCGGCGGCCCAAAAAGGTCTAATGAGCACAATTTCCTGAGCTCATTAGCAGTAGATTAGCAGTAGTGACAAATTTTGGCCACATCTTGTCCTCCAGGTCTTGCCCAGTAGGTGCGTTGTTTGTGGTACTTCCGCAGGCCGAGGCGAGCATATTGACCAGCCTGCCCTAATTGTTTTGATTATTGATTAGACTCACACAAGAGTTTGCCTCTTGAGGAAGCAGTAATAGATGTGTAGTCAGTAACATGTCCTGAGTTTGACCTCTTTTATAGAAACTGTAAAAACAGTAAGTGGAATTGTTATAATTCTTCTCATTGACAATCCGCTTTTGAATAAAAATCTAATTCTGCACAAACGCCTCATTTTAGCTCTATACCTGCACTCACTTCTACTCCCAATTCACACCGTTGTACATCTCTTCTCCATTATTTCTCTTCCATTTCTCGGAGGGACCTAGATGGAGCGAAGTTAATTTCTGCTCTCGTGGGCCCCCAATCCTCAGACCGGCCTGAAACAATTTCAAACTCTCTTTTCTCCAGTTCACTTCGCTCCTTCTGCCAGGTCTGCGTCTCTGAGCCTGGCTGCTCTCTCCAGTGGTGCTCTAATTCTTTCCCTTCATTCCCGCCGTGTATGTGTGTGTATGTGTGTGTGTGTGTGTGCTTCTATGCGGTACATTTGTAGACTATGGACATGTGTGTGGGCTGCTGGAGTTAGTGGAGCGTCTATAAGCAATTTCAGATCTTATCAGCCCCTCATTGTCTGCCTTAAGGAGCTTCTTCTTCATCCTCGCTGGCCAATCCTGCTGACTTCCTATGCTGTAAAAGTCATTCCGCTTCCCCTCTTCCCTGATCCACCTGGCCCGCAATCTATTGTGTATTTAATGCTTCTATTTTTCTCCTCCAGCTCAAGTTTATTTTCGGTCACATCCTCATTCCATCGCTCCTGGTTTCATTATTGTCTATTTTGGTTACTTTATTTTGGAACAATGCAGCTCGAAACATTCCAAGCAATGTCTAATTGGAATACATTCTCCTATAGTTTGAAGTGCACATGCTACAACACTATGTGAGGGTGAGAATATGATTGTAATAGTTAAGAACAGGTGAAAACAGATGTATCATTCCAAATTGATCCATACACTATCCTCTGACAACTTTACAACAATAAAAAAAAAAACATATTAGCTGCTTATAGTGTGAAAACTACGGTACTTTATCTCATATTAAACACCTTGTTCTCACATCAGCCCAATTACATCAGCAACAATTACATTTGTTGTATAAGGAATGATAATAAATTATACATCATTTATTTTTATTTTCTTTCTAAAATCAAGCAACATCTGACAGAACATATGAACCTTCACAAAAGCTACTTCGCCTAGATTATTTGACAGTATGGCAATAAACACTTTTGAAGAGTTGATTCAGCTGATATCAATGCAAAACATACAAGTGAAGCTATACTGTAACTTTGCAGGTTAAATGGAGAAACATTATGTAAAATCAATTTTTGCGAAGTTTAAAATTTTTTGTTTAACTCTGCCCCTTCTGTTAAAAAGCTTATGTCATAGTATGATGTCATTGTACCAATGCATTATAAAACACAAGTATTTCCAGTACAGTAATTCTTGGAAATTTCTCAGGTGAAATGACCTTACTTATAATCCCATGTCTGTTTGCAGCCAGCCGGTATTATTTCTACTTTTCTCATTATTTCTCAATAATGTTTCTCATTCAACATGAAAATAGTAAATAGCCTCACTTTCACTTTTAAAGGGCAGATATTATTCATCATATTTCTTCTTTGAGTGATAAGCAATAAATACTTTCTTATAAGCAATGTCACTTTCTTATTTGGCTAATTCTTAATAGCTTTTTCATGGTCATTCTCTGTAGCCCTGGACGTCCTTCACTCTCCACTTGTTCCTCCATGTAATCACAGGGGACCGACCGGGACAAGGGGCCCCGCGGCAAGACAGTCAATCTAATCGCTCATCTGATCAGCGGGCGCTTTACATTGCCACTGTGACGCCCAAATAAGGTCTCTGGAGGAAGTCGCCTCTTGCTTTATCTCTTAGTTAGTGAGATAGTCGATGTTTCCTGCTCTCTCTCTTTCTCACTCCTCCCCTGCCCCTCTGTTCACTCAGGCTTTGTCCTCACTCTAGCCTCTGTCTTATCTCCACTCAAACAAAAACTCCAGGCGAAGGCTTTTATGTGATACGTGTTGGCTGTGTACGTGTGCATGCCCTCGTGTAATATAGTGGGGATAAGATCTTTTTAATCGTGGTCGGAAGAAATAGAACATCTAGTCTAACAACCAATTAGGTTCATATTAATGTTATGTTTATTGGATGTCCAGACAGTGTCACAGTCAGGTACCAGTGTCATTTGGCCATTAAAACAATATTACAAGACCTTTGTCATTTCATGTTTTAGAAAATGAACTATCTTCAGTAGAAAATATATGATACAACAGGAATCATGCTTAGCGGCCTGCCCTATCTGTATGCTACCACAACTTGCCAAATTGCTGAATTTCGAAGGATTGCAGTTAATTTATGGACAATACCTTTGTTCTTAACGGCAGAAAACTGTTCAGTCAAAGTCACAGACCCTTCCAAAACATTTGAACTTGCTTATGTGACTGCAGGACCAGTGTGCATAGTTAAGCATAGTTAAACCAGAACTATCTCCTTCCTTCAGGAAGGAGATAGTGATGTCAGTTTGGTGAAAATCCTTGCGGTGTCAATGTTGCTTGCATTTTGAACAAACTAAGAGTTGACTGTGACTATAGAAGAATGAGCCTAATACACATTCTTACAAGCAAAGTAAAATGGTTTGCCTATTTTTCACAGAATTAGATCTGAATTTTTGGAAAGTAAACCTGAATTACACTAATATAGAATGTGAGCCGTGACTTTCTTACCGTTTCATAGTCGTACCACACTGCATCTGGAATGTATGCCTTAACAGTATCAGTCCCCTGCAGAAAACAAGAACAACGACATTATTATACATCATACTCACACTGATCTGAATGTTTTTTAATGTTAAATAAAGATGTTGACATCAAACACAGTGTAAAAAACATGTCAGTGTTTGGTATTTTAGGATTTTTGGGCAGGAACACAGACACTGCTATGTAACAAGGCTAAATACAAGACAAATAACATGTTCAGTGGTGGGTGACATGAAATAGTCATAAAATACATAGCATTTTTGAGACACTAAAAGCCACTCATTCATTTCATACATAGTTGTAAGCTACTATTGAGGCTGCCAATCTGTGCCGTCAGCCCCTCAAACCAATGTAAATTTCTTTGACATATTATAATCATCATATTTTTTGTCACAAATATATATTATGGGCACAATAACTAAACTAAGTCATTCACTGGGACAGAGACAATGACTAAATTGATAAACATTTTAGTCAACAAATAAAGGACGAGACGAAAAAAAGATTTGAAATCCAATCAGAAGAAGGGATCGATTAGCCGGATTAGATGCAAGGAGGAGCAAAAAGGGCTTGCCTTATTAGAGGTGCCATATTACGCTTTTTGACTTTTCTCTGCTTTAAACATCATATCAGTGCTATTTGGCCTTCATACACATAACCAGAGTGGTATTATGCGTGTCATATTCGCCATCGAAACTCAAAGCGTCATAGATAGAACCCGGGTGTTACGCTGCCTCTCGAGAATGAAAGAGAAAGATTGCTCTCTAACTAAAGCTGGAAGGAATCAATGAAAAAACTACTACAGGCATTTGTACGAAGGCCAAATAGCACTGAAATGATCTGTCAAAAAGTGTAATATGGCACCTTTAAAGACACCAAACTGGCCTCTGAATAAATGTATTATCCATTATTCAAAAGATGTACCAAACAACCACAGCTCCACCTAAGAAAATCAACGCACATTGTACTTTTGAAACCTGTGGAGATAAAACAGGACTATTCAGAAACTTCTATAAAAGGACTAGCTTTTATCTGATATAAAGTTTCCCACAAAAGCCCGGTGACATTTGAGACAGCGCCTTTATGATGCAAGAGATGATGGAACAGACAGCATCAAGCGTGGACTGATAGGTGACAGGCTCCGGTGGCTTAAGGTGCTGGACAAACGGGAGGAATCAATAATGGCGGGGCGCACCTTTGATAGCGCTGTCAATTCTGTGCTGTGGGTGATGGTGGCGGACGGCGACGCACACATGCGCAGACAAAAGTGAGATGTGAAACTAAAGTGCAAGAAGAGAGCTCAGAAAGTTAGGAAAGTGGTTGCAGGTCATTGATAATAATGTTTTGGGTTGACCACCTGAAACCCTTAGTGAGAGTTGCAGTATAAGTAGTGGTGGTATAGATAGAGTCAGAAACACACACACATACAGGTTTTGTATTACAAAAAACAAAATAAAAATGTATTGCAAAAAAGTCGTAGTCCTCTAAAACCCGCACCCCGCACCCCGCACCCTCAGTCCTCAGTCTTTTCTTCTTCCCTGAATCTGTGATCCACTCATCTCAAGCTACCATTTTTGATTACCAACATTGTCTGTGGAAGAGATTTTTGTATCATCTTCTATGGTTAAAGCTGAAAACAATCAACGTTACATTTCCAATGATTGAAAAAAGTTTAACTCAATATGACCCTTTGGCGCTAAGAGTATTTACATTGCAGTGTTGTGTGTGGTATTGCACACATCCCCTCATTACCACCCTTACTTACTACCTATCACCTGCTTTGTCATACCACATCTGCACCAGCCAATCACAGCCTGGCAGATTAAATGGGCCTCTTCAACTTTTAATATAAAGTGAGGGAGGTGAATAATGAAGGTAATGTCCTGTGTAGTAGCAGCAGTTGCAATAAGTTGTTCAAGGTGGATTCTTGTGGAGAAACAATAGTGTTACCACAGCTGTTTCTCCACAACAAACACAGGGTCAGATTTGAGCCCATGTGTCAGAGGCACTGATGGCACCCCTGCTCCGCTCCTGCCCAACATTTCTCTTCAGAGCGTGTCCCATTTTATTGCCTTGTGAGGAAAGTCATTAGGAACAAGAAACCGGGCCGTCAGGAGGGCCATGGGGAGCCCAAAAGGTAACACGTAATGCAAGGAGTAAATAGAAAAGTATGTTACGGTAGATTTCCCAACAGTTTCATTGGTGTGGACAGATTGTTGCTCAAAATAAAGGCGGTGTTATGTTGAGAGGTAATTGTTCCCAAGAGAATGGAAGAATGTTTTCAAAACCAACAAAGAAATGGCATTAAAGAGCATTAAAAGTCCCTTTGAGGACTGAACAATCCAAGCCTTAACAGCGGTTATAGTAGAAAAAAAGGATGGTGAAAACTGGCAGGGGTTTTGACAGGAGAAGAGCAGTCATGTGTAATTAAAAAGCTAATGAGTGGTCAGGAGAAAAAGAACGTGCAGATTAAAAATGTAAAAAGTACAGCAATAATTTGTAGGATCAGGACCGATTCGACCACCTAGCACATGCGAAGTGGTTCACAGAGGTTGATTATGTAGCCGGTTAGCAGCTTACCTCGTTTTTTGTGATTTCAGCAGAAAAAGGATGGGCAGCAAAAGAGACAAATGGCCATGAAGGTAGCTGAGAACATGTGAAAGACAGTAGAGGCCAAACATAGAACTGGGCAAAAATACAGAAGAGGACTGAAATAAAACTAGAGTGGCCAAGTGGTAAAAAAATATATTTTTCTATAGGTGGGACTTTGATAACTGTTAAATCACTTTTGAGCTTGTATAAAATAGTTTTTATAAAAATATTATATTTTGATTTTGCATGCGCACTGATGTTTTTCATTTACAATTTTCGGTAATGCTGCTATTCTAATTGATTAGCGTAGTGTCTGAAATTGCCTGCCATACGTCATGTTCTACCGGCCTGCTCCCTGATGGCTTATCAAAGCTGCTGTCCAGCTGCTGAGATGACAGCGTGGGGAAATCGGCTCCTTTTCTGGTGTCTGATTTGCTCGCGGCGCCTATCACTCAGCGTACCCTCTAATACGCCGGGACTGCAGGAGTTAGCGCGGCTGCTAACTGAGATTGAGAAGGACAAGCCACGAGGCCTACATCCTCATTTGGCGCAGGCAGGGCTCCGTCAAGCTCGCGTTTAGATTTGATCAGGTGGGCCCGAGATTTACGCTGGCAGAAGGATCAGATGGTACCTCGAAGCGACAGGGGAAGCAGGGGCGAAAGGGGAGAGCGGATGAAATAAAAGGGGATCACAAGGGGCGAGTTGACAGGCGCTGATTAAGAGAATGCAGATTAGATAAGGGAGGGAAGGTCTGATGAAAGGAAAGAGCGTAACAGGCCGGTGTGGGGAGAGGGTGAGGACTGGGGGGGGGGGGGAGATCCGGTTTATCGCAGAGATGAAGGTTAGGAGCTGGACTGATGTGAATGACAGCACTCTGGGATCATCAAAGAGCGCGAGAGAAAGAGCTGCAGAGGATGGAAAGAAGGGGAGGTTGGATTTGGGGGCTTGTTAAAGATCAGCGTGTGCCCCTACTCAAATAGATAAGAGCGCTGGGTTTTACGTGCTGGGCCATCACAGCCTGGTGCCTGTGCAAGTCATAGGGCACACTGTTTTTGATCCACAAGCACAGCAAATGTCGCCGTGCAGCCAAACCAGAGCGTGGTATGCGAGCCTTATCCAAATGCATCTATAGCAGGGGTCCCCAACCTGTGGCTCGGGAGCTACCAGTAGCTCGGCAGCTCCTTTCAGGTTGCTCGCCAAAGCATTTAGAATTCAACAAATGATCTTGAATGAATAATTTTGAGTCACTACATATTATATTACATATTATAAGTATAAATCTAGGGTTATACAGTATTATGGTATATATTACATGTGTTCTCCATGTATTGTCATAATTATTAGATAGATTTTTATTATGACTGCAAAAAGGAGAAGCTCTCTGCCTTTTCTTTTGTACAAAAGTTGCTCTCTGATTGAAAAGGTTGGAGACCACTGATCTATAGTTTTGTGCTGCAACTAACTATTACTTTTCTGGAATGAGATGTTGCACCTGCATCTGTTTTATATTGCCTTAAATTTGTGAAAACCTTTCTTTTTTTTTCACATTTGATTGTTATTTCAAAACTTTCTTGTATAGCCTTCAAGGTTATGTTTGGCACTTATTTTTGTTACTGTGCCCCACCTAACGTTTAGCTCATACTTCACACTAAGGAGGTCCTGGGTTTGATATAGGCCTGGGACTTAAGCTATAAAACCATATTCAAATGCGATTGTTTTATGAATGTCAAATCTTATCTTGACCAATAAATGCTTGTAACAAAAACAATGTTTTTCCGCTAGCCACATGTGCAGCAACCAATCACAGAGCGGCAAAGTGGTCATGGGAACACATGCCGCTCAGACGAAAACACTCGAAAAACAGCCAAAACAAAAGCTAAACCAGGACTAAACCAGGTTCAAACCAGGACTGCCAATGGGCACACAGTGCTTGTGAACATATAGCTCCAGTTTGAGTTCTTAGTCTACCGTCACTGTAAACAAGCACTGATTGGTCGAATGGAATTCAACCAAGGCCAAGCTAAGGCCAGGCTAGGTGCAATTCAGTTTTGTTGCTAAAATTGTGTTTGTTTGGATGGTGAGATTATATACAACTATTTGCAAGATTTCATGCAAACAAAATCTCCATGAAAAAGATTCATTGGCTAATGTACTTAAAAAACTGAGTACTACAGTACATTTAAGAAATTGTAATATCCTCACCAACTTCTCCCTTTCTGAACCCGTCACCCGCCTCAAAACATAAACCCTCCACCACTTGAAAAGTTTACTTCAATCACACTTGCACAAAGTTGCTTCACTGCCCTGCCCCTCTGTGAATCCAATTCGCTTTCCTCTATTCCGAGTAATTCTCAAGGGGCCGCACCAAATTGCTTATTAATAAGGCCACTTTAACATGACCGCAATCTATGGGAATGCAGCGTACGTAGCCGCACAAACACTGGCAAAACAGGCACGTGCACACACACACACACACACTGCTATCTGCACTTCTAATCTGCCGCTAATGAGGTCAGAGCTCTCATTAGGGCTCATGTGTAAGAGAGAGAGAGTGAGAGAGAGAAGAAGAGAGGAACAAAGAGGATCACATGTCGTGTCTCCCAGCGGAGGTCACACCATTTGCCTACATTGTGTGCTATTAAGTTGTAAGCAGTGATCCAGCACCGTGATCCAGCACACAGCTTCATTGGGTTGTTTCACATGGAACTGCATTGCGTAGTGTTATGAATCCAAAAAAAAAGGTCTCTGCGTGTTGTAGTACGGTCACTGTGACGTGATAAAGCAAGTTGGTTGTTTTAAGATGTTCGAAGTTAAATGTAGTTTAGTGAGGGGGCTGAGTGGTGCTGGATGTAGGGCATGTTCACATTTGAGGCTTAAGTTAATCAAAAACAACTTTAAAACAATCAATTAGACGTGTGGACACTCTTCCAGCAGTATTATGGATCTTTTATGAGACTTTTTGTGCAAACATGAGCTCATTATTACAACAGTGTGTACGTTTCCACTGGATGTTGTGGTTGTCTATATGTTGAAGAAAACGTATAATATGGGCTTGTTCACACTAAAGGGCACAAAAGTGTGACAAAAGGCCAAAAATTAGATTTTAATAATCAGAAGATATTTTATGTTTTTCATGTTTCCACGCACCTCCTCTGTCCATTAGAAGTTGCTAGAACATAACTGTTTTATACATTAGACAAGTTTCCTATAGCGGCCCTGTTTATTTTATCTAACGGACGTGATGATTTGACGGAATGAGCTTTGCGGAAGTTTGATAGGTATTTTCAGATGTCCACAATTGATTCAGAGATTCTATTTTTTTACACAGAGTAGAAACAAAGTGATACTTTCATTTAGTCAACCAAACGTGAAAACCAAAATGTGAAACCAGACAAGATTTTTTTCTTTCTCAAGTAAAAATTTTAGAGAAAAGAGGACGGAAACCATCACGTCCGTTATACATTTTTCAATGGTCATTTAATTAATTAATTATTTTTTATTTTTTAACAATTCCTTTTCATATCAAGTGATTTACTTATGTTGTGCTAACCATGTAAATATTGTGGGATTTCATCTGCCGCTTTTTCAGACTGAGGACATTTTATTTTCTATGTAACTGGCGTCACAGTAGAATGGTCAAAAAAGAGGCTGATTTTGTCGTTTAAAATGTCACCAAAAATATATTTGACAATCTTTCCTTTTGATTTTATCTACACTATGTCTTTGATTTGTCTGTGTTTGAAATCTTTTTTCCAATCTATGATCGTAATTTTAGTTTTTAAGTTATAACCTTTTAAAGTCGAGATACTTCAATTGACACTTAACTGTGAACACACTCATCTACTGGCGACGTGACAGACGCTGAGGAATTTCCGTATTTTGAATTGGTGAGAACCATATAGATCATGTCGCTTATGCTGTGTAACAACAATAAAACATCACTTACTTTTAATCTTAATATAACTATACACAGTACTGTGACCACATCACCAAAGACACAGTCTGTAAAAGTAGCTATAAAGATGTGATAGAAGCTAAAAACACACGCATGTGAAAATTACTGATAGTTTACCAAGTTATTCTGAGAGCGAGGAACAAGTTAGATGGGTTTTATTCCGTAGTTCAATTTGTTGTAGTTTGAAGGTTGTCACTTTGTTTCTCCTCAACACATATACTGTCCTGTCTAAACAAATCTTCAGGAGTCATCTGAAACTAAGTGATGTGTTGAGATGGTGTACAGTAGGTCCTGTGCATGAGGGCTCACCGGATCCAGGACAGGGGTGATTAGAAGAGACTTCCCCCACAGAAACTGTCTGTCCACTGTCCATGTTGCACTGTCCCAGTAGAACCTGGAGACAAGGAAAACATGTGAAACAGGGGCGACAGTATGGAAAGAAATGTTTTCATCTGCAAGCCAGTATATGTTTAAATGTTTAAATGTGACCAGCTTATGTAGAAGCAATGTTAGTTTGTTACTCCAAACACAATTCTAATTATCGGCAGAGAACAAACTCCCCTCGTTTATTACTGTATTTTCTCAAACAAAATATTTAAACAGCACTTTTGTTCGGCTCCGGCTTTGGACAAAGAATATGTGTTCCTCAAATGAAAACAAGAGCAGGCTCATGCATATTCTAATTGTGAAGCAAGTTGGGTATAAAAGGCTAATTGTTTGTACTTTTATGTTTTACCCCAGAAAGAGACAAATAGAAACCACTGTAAATCTGTTGTGTATGAAGTGAATGGAAAATACAAAACCTTGTATCGCTCTGAGTGTCACCCAGGTCTGTGGTGGAGAAGGTCTTGCGGTGGGCTTGAGCCCAAGACCTTCAGGCTCCAAGGCCAATGCTCTACCAACTGAGCCACTGTGGCAAAAACACCACACACATTTTCTTCTGACATATTTATGTGTTTTAATTAGGTGGTTAGGTAGAAATGTAAGTTAGTTAGACATTTCTATAAATTATGTACATAATGTGTATACTTATATGTGTTTCTCGTATTAAGGTTGCCAGTTTGTTAGAGCCAAGACCAACTAAATCTCCTTTATATTTGACTAACAAACTTACAAACGGAAAAAGAAAGTACATCACATACGTGTTTAAGATTAAGTTTGTATGATTTTTTTTTTTTGATCGCTTCAAGTTGGATTGTAATTGTAATGACTTTCCCAGCTCTAATGTCACATATTTGTAGACTCACTCGTGCATAACCGGCCGCACCACCGTCTCCCCCGCGGTGTGGGCCCTATAGAAGAGAGTGTACAGGTACGGCAGCAGCGTGTAGCGGATGGTCAGGTAGTGCTTGGAGGTCTTCACCAGGGTGGAATCCGGTCCGTAGAAAGCTGGATCCTGGGGCTGGAAGACAGGAAGATGGATGAGAGGCACAGGCTAGGCCACTGAGAGAGCGGGAGGGGCAGAGAAAATAACCATTTGTCTCCACTGTCTTTCAGTTCAGAGATATAGTTAATTAAAGGCTGAAGGGAGTGGAGGAAACCAGGGCATCAACTAGTGAGCAAGAGGTTCGCAGGTAGGATATTATGGCACTATATGATGACATACAAACCTACATATCGTATGGTTTATTATATTGATTCACACATGTTTAAATCTGCATTCTAAAACTGAGCACTTTCTGTCTCTGTTCTTTTTTTACAATAATTAAAATAATTTTAATACAGAAAATATTTTTCATGATAAAACAGTTGAACAATGATAAATTCCCAATTCTTGCAGAGTTTATTACAAATATATCCTCCTGGGACCCGGCCCATTCACTCATGTCCTCTGTAGTGGACATTTTATTCACCTGCATCTTCTAAGAGTATTTGGAGTTACCCTATCAAGTTCAATAGTACTCTCTAGAGATCATCCTGGGCTTTCCAGTGATGTGCCATGTGATTGGTTTGCATGCTGGGAACTATACTTTTTTTCTCTTTCAAAATGGCTGTCATACCAACAACCACATTTTATGAAAAGATGAGAGGTAAGTAAAATATCTTTATAATCTTTATGTATTGCAATTTTTACCATGAAAATTATATATATTCTTGTCCACTAACATGTAAATAACAATATGTATACATTTGAAAACAGTTTACTTATTTCTGTTTTGGAATAATAGTCATTTAATGTATGTCCACTGCAATTAAATTAAATAATGTAATGTATTTAATGACTGCACATTGTTGTAGGAGCAAGGAGTGAAGCAGCGAGAATCCTTTACTAAATAATTGAGGGAGAATCAGAATTGGAGCTTTCAGATGAAGAAAAGGATGAGGAGGAGTATCAGCCTAGGATAGGGGAAGGTGATGATGAAGAAGGAGAGGAAGATGAAGGAGAAAAGCCTAACCCTATCCCTCTGAATTTGTTCTGCAAATAAATATGCCAAACCCGCATCATGAGGATACCAGGCAAAATCATACACTCTGAACCACTGGAAATCACTGAATGTGAAAAAACTTGTGACTACTTTCTTTACTTGAATTGATCTCTTTTTTCTATGTATCAAAACAGATTCAGACCTGTGGTACCTGAGCCTCCTACCTATCAAGATGACCCTGAAAGTGAATGGTGGAGTCCAATCAAGTACTTCTCACAGTGCATCGATGACAATATCTTTGAGAATCTGGCAGCTTTTACAAATCAAAGACAGATACTAACTACAGGAGCGTCACTTAATACTACTGCCCGAGAAATAAAGGTTTTCTTTGGCATTTAAATGCACATAGCCTGCCCTGGCAATCCAAGAGTCAAAATGTTTTGGGATAAAATAACTGAAGTGCCTGATATTAGCAGGAGAATGACAAGAGGTAGGTTCTACAAGCTGAAAAGCTCACTCAAGATTGTCAATGACCTGGATGTAACTCAAGAGGCAAAAGAGTCGGACGTTCTTTGGAGAGTTAGATCATTGCTTGACCGTGTGAGGCAAGGTTGTCTCAGGCTTCCTAAGTGTGACAAAATGTGCATTGATGAGCAAATCATCCCATTCACTGGCAAAAATTCATTACATTGTTACAATGTTACTGTTTTTTTTTTTTATTGTTCAAATGTAATGTTTTATTGCTCTTATTTTCTCTATTTCTAAATTGTGGTGTTTTTACACGGATATTGTCCTGTTGTCCTCTACAGTGGACATGCTGTAAAATTTAAATATACAAAAAAAGCACCTTACAAATAAAAATTGTAAGGTGCTTTTTTAGAGCCAAATAGATTGGAAATCACAAAAAAACAGAAATTGCAAGACACTTTTTTTCTTCGGTTCTCAGGAGCTATAGATGTAAGACAATAAATAGGTATTATCAAACTAGCCTCAGACATCAGAAAACACTACTGTTAAAATTAACACTCTCGAGTGTTAATTTTAAGATTGTTGTGAAGTTAATATTCACTAATCAGATGATACCTAATCATAAGACTGGATTTGTGAGCTCTACACTTGAAACATCTTTTCAACAATGTGAAACTTTAATTACACTGGCTACAACCTCCATCTCCGGTAATGACTACTGTTCTAAAACTTCTGTAACTGCTAATTATTCATCACAAAAAGTACAAAATTACATATTATTATGACTTGTCTGTCATAATAATATGAAATATGATATATATAAATAATATAGAAACAACTAAATAGTTTTATGTCACTGATTGAAATCCAAAAATGTTCTTTTTCTTCCTTTAACCGTTTTCTTTATTTGATCTATACTGCAGTATTCTAGTACAATTAGATTTTCTTGAAAAGCTTTATCATGCATCACTACAGAGCAATGAGACAGATTGACAAACCAGACCCATCAGCGCGACCTGTTATAAATAATTGGGCTTTAATGACATTAATAATCATTAGTGGTACATTTTTACAGCTTGGAAAATGGGAAATTATCAGATGCGAAGTTGAGCGATTGAAACAAAAGAGGGGAAAAAAGTACAGCGCCACCAAAACCCAAAAATAATGATTTAATTTTCATGATGGTGCAGAGTAAGAGGGTGATTAGCTGCTAACAGGCCGTGCTCCTCTCATTGCGCTAATCATTTATGCCCCGAGAGAATGTTCTGGTGATGAGAAGGCTACGTGTGTGTGCGTGCTTATGTCCATGTGTGTGTGTCTGTGTGTGTCTGTGTGTGTGTCGGCCCGTCTCGTCCCATGATGAAAGCCGTGATTAGGGCAAAGCAAAGGTCACACATTAGCCATGCTTCAAATTCATCATCAGCGTGTCTCTGCTCTGCAGCTCCTCGAACGTTGGTCCCACAGTCCACGCGTAGGATTGTTTTGTTCTGGCATCTAGTTGGCGTTGTATTGGTTTTAAAGGTTAACTTCTAGTTTTGAATAATTTCCAGGTGGGTTTTCAAGTAAGTGCTACCTTATCTGTACCTCTTAATTGCTTTTCTCTTCGACCATTTGGCCTTTAACTGATCTGTCCTGTATTTATCTAAATGCATGTGTTTTTGATGCCTAATAAAAATATGAATTTCTAATTGGGGTCTTACACAATTAAGAAATAATAGGATGTTTTTTTTTTTGTCTGCGATCAGTGCATGCAGCCTCTCGCCGAGTCCAAGTCCATAGACTGTACATTTTAGTATGATCCCGCGTCTAACATCCAAAGACTGCATTTTGTGTTAGCATCAGATATGAGCCTCCATAAGTACAATGCAACTAACTTGCGGTATACTAAATGTAAACAAAATGTTTAGGGTCTGATTCACATGTCACATAGAGACAAAGGGCTCTATGTGACATGTGGGTTTGCCATTGATGGAAAAAATATATTCTCTGGTCTGAAAAGACTATGTATCGGGGAAAGCAAACAGTTCACCTCAAACTTAAGGGCTCGACACACGGGAGGCGACAAATGAGAGCGATCAGCGAAACTCAACGCTGTCGCTCAGATAACATGACAGACGGGGCGCGATGCGGCTTGACGACAGCGTCGAAAAGTTGAGCCTATTTCAACTTTCTGGGATCGCGTCGCTGACCTGCGCGTGCATGTTACATGCACGAGCGGGAGGATTTCACACGCACGTTTTTCGCCCGTCGCTGAGCAGGAGGCTCGCTAGCGATTGACGCTATGTCGCGCACGTCCCATTGAAAATGAATGGAGGCGATGCGATGTCGCCTCTCGTGTGTCGAGCCCTTTAGGGTGAGCCTAAGTCACTGCGCGGGTGGGGAGTGGTGGACTCAAAGACAGCGGAGCACAGATCCAAGCATTTCAAATGAGGTGACATCACCTCTATGCATGAAATGGCTATAATTTGACAAGTTTTGAGTGTGTCACCCAAATTATGATCACACATGTGCTTAGGATGGACTGAGAAGAAAATCTAAATGTATACAAATAATTAGACTATAGTTAAAATTAACTAATAGAGAAGATATATAAATTATTGTTAAACCAAGACGGATACCACAGTTACCACCACAATTTAAACCTAAATCTCAATCTCACAATCTACACATTACAAGGCACCTTCACACTGCAACTACATAACTTTCCTGCCTTCGTACTGTATCTGGACCCTTCTGCATCTGGACATCACAGCAAGATTCCGTAAAATACTTTTTTTTAAGTTTTTTTCCAGTCAAGTGCCACCATTCCCAAAGCAGCTATAAACATTTCCTGCAACTCCGCTTTCCCCAAACTACCCCACAAAACCTGGGTCCCTCTGCTCTCTCCACGCACTAGTATAACATGACAATGGCCTCAAAGGATATTTCTTTTGGGGCAAAACCACACACCCGATGTTATGAGATCACCAGCACTAGGGGACGAATATATAAAGTATAAATCTAAACTTGACAGTGTAATAGAACAAGTGTTGGGGAGAATGTTCTTACCCTGTAGCCCTGAGCGTTGTGGTTCCGGGAAAATGGGTAAAAGGCTCCCACCTGCATCCATCGCCGACACAACTCCTCGCTGGAGTCGTCAAAGAAGCCGCAGATGTCAGCCCCGATCTGAAAGACAAGGCCGAGTGAATGAGGTTGTCATGATGAATATGTGATATAGTACAGCTGCTATGGCATTTGACTGAAGATTAAGTCAAGTAAATGGAAATTAGCAGCAGTGACCAAAGACATGCTTCAGATTCATCGTATTCGTTGCATTTGTCATTTGCAGTAAACAACCACATTTTTCCCAGTGTGCACCAGAGATGCACTTACAAAAGAAACAATTCTGACTGTGAAAAAAACACTCAGAAATCATCTGAGTGTATTTTTCAATCTGATCACAGCTTGTGAAAAGAACCTGTTCCAAGTTGCGATGCACCTCAAAAAAGAAGGAATCATATCTATTAACAAAAGGAAGAAGCTGGAACATGGGGGTACAGAAACAAATAATTCGAGTAGCTTTAGTCATAAGTTTGGACTGAAGATTTTGATTTCCTATAACTAAATTGATACTTATACTATCAGAATGTGTGTGTGATTTCATGTATGTTTTGAGTGGATACAGTTTTGGTCAGATGATAAAGAGTTTCCTTCCATACCCCTTTTGTCAATCAAAAAGTGTCTTTGGCCGACAACAATAATCCTGTTTCTTTCATCTCTTGAATGTCCACCATTTTCTTAGTAATTAGAACCATCCATCTATAAAATGTCACACAGCTATTCAACAAAAATCATTTGCTTCAATGCTACAGTTAAAACATATGAAGGCCATCAAAATATGCTGGACTATTTATTTCCAGGGTTACCAAGCCCCGGCGATACAAGATAGCGCCGTAATCATGAATGGTCTGTGCTCAGTGGCGCATGTGCCGGCACGGCGCGGACATAATCGCACAACTCGCGTATATTTGGACATCGTCTGGTCCTCCCGGTTCTGCGCAGTTGATAAGCGTTGCGCCAAACACGCGCGTGTGGCTCTCATGCACGTGCACAGAGAGGCTTGGCTGTGCTCTGACCAATCAGCGCTGCTCATTAGAGCGCAGCTAGAGCGAGAGTTAGAGCAGGTGCCAAACAAGCAGAGTTTGTTGCACTAAAGTGTGGATAAAAAAAAAAACAGAACTCCGGATGACAAGGGACACTAAAATCCCCACAAAATCTGACCTTTGTGAAAGCTGTAGGTTCTCTGTCAGCTGAGGTTGAGCTATTTTAGTTTACATTGAGTTCCATGGGGAAAATGTCTAGGTAGCCCACGTGAATTTAGTCTGGTTTGGTCTGCAGTACCGCGAGAATCCCGCGAGCACATGGGCCCTTCAGCTCCAAGCTAGTAATACCCAATCCAGTTATAATAGATTTATGAGGGTTACCCATCATTTCTTCTTCCATAAATTATACATTTATGGAGGAAAAAAAGAGTGCTTGATAATTAAAAGCCTGTCTTCATCTTATTAGAAAACATGTTATCATTTGCAAACTTGTAATAAAGAGCCATGTGAGTCATTCTTGGATGCTTTGGGCCGAGAGCTGGTTGGCTGAGTGAGGGTGGTACTTTCCATTTCACTTTTCTTTATGTAAAAGCTGATCGAAAGATGCATGAATGTGTTTTATGGTTTGAAAGTTCACTCCGGCAAAGGTGGGATATGCCATATTAAATAACTATTTGGAAGTAAAATGTGAGAAATAAACCTTCAATGTATGCATGAAAAAGTCAATGAGTGTTGCAAGTAATTAAAAGTAAAGCATTTAGGGGTTCAAAAGATAACTGGATTGGAACAGCCAACTTATTTATATCATATATAACATTTAGTCTTTGTTTTTGTCCACTTCTCATTCTTTAAAGGTCTTGCCCTTTTCTTTGTGACATTACACCGCTCCCTTTGTCATATTTTAGCCTGACTTGAAAGAATATTGACTTTCACACTCTATGCCACATTACTTAATAGCCATCCCGAGCTCTTTTGAAAACCCCATATTGAAACTTCAGTCAACAAATTCCCCTGCCATTACAAAACACTGACACCAGGAGAATACCGGGCCAGAAATTCTCTTTTTAAATGTCTTCCTTGATGCTCTCTCTGTCGTCCTGATTGTTATCGGCAGGCTGAAGATGTGGTCGGCGATCTTTATATACATTAATTGCAGTGAGCGGTCCAAGAAAGAGGCTGGTCCGCAGAGAGCCCAGGCCTGCTATTGTTTACTGATGGCTGCCTTTGAGCATGGGCTACGCTGCCATCGATTCAGGAACTGCTCTAGAACAGACTCCTTTCTTAGATACATAAATGAACGCAATCCAATGAATGTTGTATTGATCTGATAGACTTTGGCGCCGAGACGCTGACAGGTCTGTGATGTGATGAGGGTAGCTGTCAGCTTCAAATAATTCAATGCAGTGGAGCAGGGTAATATAATTCTAGTCTTCTTATTGTCTAAAGCCCTTAGAATAAACCTTTTGTTTTAATCATTCTTTCACTTATTTTATGCTAAAATTCCAATATTGCCATGACATTATGCAATATCTCACCACTTGATTGTTATACTATTACCAAGTATTGGTATGTTAATGAAGCAATCGGCGGGTCCTACATAAAATGAATGGGAGTCAATTGCAACTTTGTTCTAGCTTACGCCTGACAATTGCCCATGCCCAAAATGTTGGTTATCTGTAAATAAAAACAACATGCATGTGTGACAGTCCTATTCTTTTCCATCTTGCCTGCTCTTATGCACCTGACAGAGTTGGATGTGCAAAGTTTTCCACTTAGTATGATCTATAATGGCATGTTATAGCTAATTTTGGGGGGACAGTGGCTCAGTTAGTAGAGCATTGGCCTTTGAGCCTGAAGGTCATGGGTTCGAGCCCACCATGAGACCCTCTCCACCGACTCCCACTGATGTCTGCTGTCGTTGTGTCCTTGGTCAAGACACTTAACCCACTTTGCCTATACGGAGCGCGGAAGCGATGTTTGCTGCTTGCCTTGATGTGTATGTGTACAGTATATGTAAATGTGTATGTGTATGTATGCATGAAACTGAACTTTCCCCAGTGTGGGACGAATAAAGAACCTTCTTCTTCTTTGAAGACAATTATCTCGGGGAAACAAGTCCATCCTGTATTTTAATCTAAACAGTGAACTCAAAAGGCAATTGTTAATAGTTAATTGAATATAATTTGAGCACAACTTTGATCATTTTGTTCAAGTAGAAAAATAAGTCTGAAAAATAATATCCAAACCCATGTTTGGAAAAGTGTGTTCAAAATACCATAATGTAAAAAGTGATTGCCAGTATGAGCAAAACAATAAACCTAAAGAAACCGCTGGATATGATGGTCCTCTCTTTGTTAATGTAGTTGATGTTGCTCTGTCGGATCATTTCTGTGTATTTTTTAACATGTATTTTGCTACCAGACCACCCGCTAAATATGAAATTGTTAGAAGTAGACACTTAAATGAAAACACGGGTGAACTATTTATGGGAATGATCCATTTTGAGAACACATCATGTTCTACTGTAGATGAACTGTTTAACTCTGTCACCTCTAGTGTGTTGAATGTTCTGGACGCCATTGCCCCTGTGAAGGTAAAAATGGTCACAAATAAGCAAAAAGCCCCATGGATAAAAGCAGGCCCGGTCAGGGCACAGAAGCAAGAGTGCCGGAGAGCAGAGAGAAAGTGGAGAAAGTCCAACCTCCAGGGTGATTATAAACTCTTAAAAGAGAAGTTGTGTGAGTTTAACAGAGTACTACGTAGAACAAGAGAATTATACTTTTCTGAAACTATTGAAGGCTGCAGCAACAATCTGCGTGTTCTATTTTCAACAATCAATAGATTAACGAACCCCCCTGTTGAGTTGCCATTAGAACACTACTCCAAATCCAGGTGTAATGAGTTTGCACAGTTCTTCAGAGACAAGGTTCAGGGTATCAGAAATACCATCACCTCCACAACACAAGTAACAATGCAACATCCAGTGAGGCTTTGTGAGCTAGCTCAATTTGCACCTGTCAATGATGAAACTGTTAAAAAGATAATCACAGGTCTTAGTTCCTCTACCTGCAGTCTGGATGTACTACCTCCTAGATTCCTGAAGTCTGTTATGTGTAGTCTATTACCCTCATTGAAACAAATAGTAAACATGTCTTTTTTATCTGGAACATTTCCAATGGCCCTGAAAAAGGCAGTCATCAGGCCCCTCCTAAAAAAGAGCAGTTTGGATGCTGCGGTACTTGAAAATTACCGTCCCATCTCAAATCTGCCATTCATGGGAAAAATTCTTGAAAAAGTTGCCTACCAACAACTTACTGAATTTTTAATATCTAATGACTCATTTGACATGTTTCAGTCTGGCTTTAGACCACACCACAGTACTGAGACCGCTCTAGTCAAGGTAACAAATGATATTCGGCTTAACACTGATGCAGGAAAAGTCTCTGTTTTAGTCATGTTAGATCTGAGTGCCGCTTTCGACACCGTTGACCATGAGATTCTCATGCAGAGACTGGAGGACTGGGTTGGTGTTGCTGGTACCACCCTAAGCTGGTTTAGGTCCTATCTAGAAGAAAGGAAGTATTGTGTGGAGATTGGAGACTATGTCTCAGATAATATGGCCCTGACCTGCGGAGTGCCACAGGGGTCGATTCTGGGACCTCTTCTGTTCAATATTTACATGCTGCCATTAGGTCAGTTAATTCAAAGTATGAAAGTGTCCTACCACAATTACGCTGATGACACTCAGATCTATGTCTCACTGACTGCAGGAGAACATGGACCAGTGGACTCACTCCTTCAGTGTATCCAACAGATCAGTGAGTGGATGCAATGCAATTTTCTCCAGCTAAATGCGGACAAAACCGAAATGATTGTCTTTGGTCCCGAGAAACAAAGAGAGACCGTCATTTGTCACCTTCAGTCTCTCTCCCTAAGGCCTTTAAATAAGGTCAGAAATCTGGGAGTAATAATGGACTCTGACTTAAACTTCAATAGCCACATTGGATCGGTAACATCAGCAGCTTTTTATCATCTGAAAAATATTGCCAAAATTAAAAATATTGTGTCCAGGGCAGACTTGGAGATTCTTATCCATTCTTTTGTTTCCAGTAGGCTGGATTACTGCAATGGCCTGCTCACAGGTATCTCCAAACATGCAGTAAAACAGCTGCAGTATATTCAAAATGCTGCAGCCCGAGTCCTGACTAGAACCAGGAAGTACGACCACATTAGTCCGGTCCTCAGGTCTCTGCACTGGCTTCCCGTGGCCCAGAGGATAGACTTTAAAGCAGCTCTCCTGGTGTACAAGTCTCTCCATGGCCTTGCACCAAAGTACATCCATGATATGCTAGTCCCATATGAACCAGCCCGGACTCTGAGGAGCGCAGGGACGGGACTCTTGTTAGTGCCCAGAGTCAGGACTAGACAGGGGGAGGCTGCTTTTCAGATCTATGCAGCTAAAGTCTGGAACAGTCTTCCTGAGGATGTGAGACTGGCTGCCTCTCTGTCAATGTTCAAATCCATGTTAAAGACTTTTCTTTTTTCCTGTGCATACAACTAGAGAATTTTATCTTTTTAACACACCTTGTTATTTATTGTTGTAACTTTTTGTGTTTTTTACTATTTTATTGTTTTTAATTACTTGTGTGATTCTTATGTTTTTAAATTACTTATGTGATTTTAATGCTTTTTAATTACATATGTGTTTTTAATTGTATTTTAATGGTGATGATTTGTGCATTGTGTGGTGTGGACTGTGAGGCGCTTTGTGTTGCCCTGTGCAGGAAAAGCGCCCTATAAATAAAGATTGATTGATTGATTGATTGATTCCAATCCAAACTGTTATAGAAGTGCATTACTTGTAGAACAGTTTGGATGGGATGAGTTCAGTTTTATGTATAATTTGCAAATTAGAAGTGATATGTTTTAAGGCTGTAAAACCCTTCATCACAAAGCTTCTACTCAGCAAATTACGCTTATTGCAAGTTATTTTTAGTAAGTTACCCCCACGATAAAGAAGGGACCACAGTGTATATTTTTTCCAATATCACAGAACCAAATGCACCACACAGACGTCTAGTAACTTACTTTAAACGTAGATTTGAGTGAGTTCTTCTTTACATGTTTGTGCAAACCAAAAGGCCTCCAAATCAGCTTGACATAGTCCGACTGCATTTTACTTGGCATCTAGAAGCCCACCTGATGTGCGCAGCAGGAGCAGAGACTGTCTCACTCCCTGCAGGGCTTACTGCTTATTATACACACAGTCCAGCGTGCTTCTGGAGACTTTCTGAGCAGAATATTACACCTGCGCAGGCATTTTATAACAAGCATTTGGATTCTAATTTACACATAGTTAATTGCTTTGAAATGAAGCTTCTCACCATGGATAAAAACAAGTACCTATGTCTTGTTAATGTGATTGAAGGGAAGTGGGTTGGCGGTAGGCAGGAATATTTTTCTCACATACTATGTCTGACATGCTCCTCCTGTGTGGCGGTGCTAAGGCGTCTATACTTACTTGCAGCCACGACCTACTAGAGGGCACTCAGTTGTACAGAACCTAATGTGACTGTAGAAATGGCGGAATGCCTCCCTTTTTTAAAGCAGAAACTGCTGTAGTCTGTCAAATTGAAACAATTTGAGACATAGAGAAGATTAACAAAACAGGGCGACGCATGCTTGTTGCATGAGTTTCTGATGTTTGCATGAATGGGGCAAAAAAATGACTTTGGTTGTATGTTGTAATTATTCATGATGTCTCCTTTAAAGAGGAACTATTAAGCTTCACTAAAATTTGAAATAAAAGCTAAGTAGAATATATATGGTGAAACGAGTATAAGGGTAGAAATGCGTTCTGCCTGTAAATCTCCATAATACCACCAGAAGGAGAAGTTGTTGTTTTTTTCTTAAATTTGAAAATTACCATCTACAATCACAGCCATGTAACTGAAGAATCCCCTTTCACCTGAATGATTGGTAGGACTAATTTAGGGGCAACGACTTTGTTTTAAAATATATAGTGGTACCACTGTCATACTATTACAGGACTTTTTTTGTGAACACTGCTGATTTGTGAACACTGCCTGAAACAAACCAGACTCTTGTGCGGCTCATATCTCTGTGGATATTGACTCTTTCGGATGCTTTGAAGATCAAAACAGTGATTAAAAGCTCATCTGTTGCGTAGTTTGAGTGTGTTTCTGTTCCAACCGCTGAAAAAAGGGGCGGAGACAATAGACTGGGTCAACAGGCTCCAGGACGAACATTATTTAAAAAACCTGTTTTACGCTTTTTAACTTTTCTCTGGTTTAAACATCGTGACGGTGCAATTTGGCCTTCATGCACATGCCCAGAGGAGATTTTTCAATGATTCCCTCAAGCTTCAGTTAGAGAGGGATCTTTCTCTTTCATTCTGGAGAGGCACAGAAATGACCACAGTCTGTGTTTGCTTCTACGCTGTTTTTCTGCTATTGCAATAGCATCATGTAGACTTGAAGAAAATTTGACACAAAATAATAAATATTCATATTACAGTAATTACATTACTTTTGTAATACATTACTCCCACTACATTACATTACCTCCACACTGGCAAGGTGGACTGGTGCTCAAACAGCCATTTGCTCAATTAGATGAGTCACACTTGCCATTAGAGCTTGAACTGACTTAAAAGTGAGGTGAACACCAAAAACTGGAGAGAAAATTGCCAGAACTGCTTGTTAACTAACTGGAACAGACGTGAACAGACGTAGTTGGCGCAAATATCAATTTTCAAAAAGTGGTACAAGATAAGCCGGGCAAAATTTTTTTAATGAAAACATTGGGTTGAACTGTTTGCACATTTTGTCAGTGAAAATGAAACCACAGCACATTCAAATGGTCCTTTCCCACCCACAAATGGGAAATTGCGTGCCAACAAGATTATTTTGGCAGTAGTTTGCCTGCTATTACTGAGCTGGTAGAGAAACTTGATTGCTAACATTACAAATAACTACCCGGAGGCTACACACTGTTGCTTAGAAAATGCATATGTACACAACCGCTTCATGGCCCTTTTCCTCATCATCTAAACAACGATAATGCATAGTAGAGACATGTTTAGAGTAATAACCTCAAAGCTTGCATGCTTAACTTTGAAACCACAAAACAGACTAATTAGGGGAATCCATGTAACTAGTTTCTTGCTCTCAAACTGTTTGGTTCTAATCACGGATTTTCACATCCATGTATGGCCTCTGTCAATCAATCTTTATTTGTATAGAGCTTTCCATAAAAAAATCAACACACATTCCTGTCAGCTTTTTCTGCTGATAAATACAGAATGTTTTTACGTCTGCTATGTTTTTGTCGTAAACATGACTTCTATCTAAGTAAAAACTTCCACTTCTCCAACTTCTATTTGAGCTTCAGATAGTTTCCTTGCATATTCTGAATACATTTGTACTAGGGCCATGTTGATATGTTTTTAGCACGGCCCTAGTTACATTAAGGTACAAAAAACTCTTTATTTTTTACTGAATTGTATTGTATTTTTTTAAATATATCATATTGAAACATATCGTGCCATGCGTATCAAGGAACATATCGTATCAGCAGGCTCTGGAAAATACCAAACTTTAATCCATACATACTGTAATTCTAAACAAATAACAGGGAAAACAGCTATGCTCAATCAATTCAGTTACACAATGTTCTCAAATGCTAGATTTAAGTCATTAAAAAAAACTATATTGCTTTTAATGTGAGTTTCTAGCCAAGCCGAGGATGTCAAAGTTGTCTCTTGAAAATTCACAAATGCAAATGAGGTGTACATGCAGTCCATTGAATTTGAAATAGCTCATTGCAAAATCATGGTCTTCTTACAACGAGGACGGCCGACAGATTTGTGTGTACTTACATAAGGAACGCCGAAGAGGCTAAACTCCAGCATGCCGGGGATGGCCCACTTTATGTCGTTCCAGTTGGCTGCGTTGTCTCCCAGCCAGTGACCCGAGTACTTTCCCACACCTGGGAAGGAGGAGCGGGTCAGCATCAGGGTCCGGTTCCCCCCAAAAACACGCTGCAGTGCCCTGGGGTGTACAAGAAAAACCAAGTAAGAGCCCAGTGGAGAGGAAATCTGGAGAGAATGCTTTGTAAAAATAAAGAATCCTCTATGTCGATGGTCAACTTTATATAAACAGCGTTTTTGCTTTGAGCAAGTGGCTGTTGAGGAAAAAGTGAAATACCATATTCTAAAGCACATTTAGAACAACACCAGCCACCTAAAGAGCTTAAAATGCAGAAAAGTTATACAAACAGAAATAAAAAAAGCATAAACTACACAAACACAAGAAAATATAAAACATACAAACTTAAGTTGTGTGAAAAGCCTGGACAAACAAATGTGACTTTCAGCTGGATTTGAAAGTCTCCAATGAATTAGCTGCTGATGTACAAAGTAAACTGTTTGGGAAGTATCAGTCCCTAAACCCTCGTTGTTTAATTGTATTTGCTGGCTGCATTTAAATGTAAAATGCTTTCTGGAGAACTTAAATTTGGAATTGTTGCTGGAGGCTATGGCCCAGTTTAGACGGAGGCGCTGCACAGACGCTGCCAGGCTATTAAAGCCTAGCGTACATCGACAGAGTAACTGGAGACAACTAGTTGCAAGGGGGCTTTTGGCAACTGAGAGTAGATGATGGGAGATGCCAGAAAAAACACTGTAGTTGACGGCCAGTTGCTCTTGATGTACGCGTTGTTATTCCCGAGACTGGCCTGCTACTAGGAGTTGCCCGTTTTCGCCAGATTGTCGATGTGCAACTCATATGCGACGAATATAATCAGTTGCCAGTCCGATGTACGCTAGGCATAAAAGAAACGACCAGGCTCCTAATGGAAATTTCACAGCGTTCATATGAGGATCAAAAACGATGTAGTTCTAGCGCCCAGACAGTAGTGGGTAGAGGAACTTTACAACACGACACACGCAAGCCCCAGCGTCCCCCCAGCAGTGTACTCACTTCCTCTGGAAGACGTGAAAGATGCACCAACATCATTCTGCATTTTAACAGCAGCAGCAAAAATAGAAACTGAACCTAGAGCTTTGCGTGGTTTCGTTTGGACAAACGAAGTGAATTATCCTTTGCGTAGTGCTCGAAGCACACGTAGCTAGTTAGTGTACCCGCCGCCATTGTTGTTTACGTTTGTTCTCGGCTACTGCGCATGTCAAAATGTACGTGTGGGGAGCAGTGGGAAGGTGGGGGTCAGATCAGGCAGGGAATTCACACCTTTTTCCTTACGCGGGTGTGAAAGAGCCCCCGCTGAGCAGCGTATCTGAGCTATCCCACTTTGCAGGCTGGATCTGAACACTTTTGTTTTCACAAAACTTTCGTTTTCAACCCCCTGGATGAAGACTGTGTGGCAACCGACATATATCTACAGTATGTATATGTGTATTTTATCCTGTATTATTATGCACATCTAGGTTTGTCTATTTCCTTGTAAATTGTGGCGTTTGAGTATATACTGTAGGCCCCAAGAAGAATAGTTACTGTATATTTCAGTAGTTGGTGGGGATTAAAATAAAAACAAAATAAACCCTGAATGTGACAGGGAGCAAGTGAGGTGAGGCCAGCACTCTCCTTTACATGTCTCTATGAGCAGGTGAGCAACAGCATTCTGGACCTGCTGAATGCTTTAGTGAGTTACAGTAGTCCAACTATAGACAAGGCAGGGCAAGTTTATATGTATGAACAGTTCTTACACAAGGCAGGTCAAAGTCCATAACAAAACAAGACAAGAAACACAATCATACAAGGAATTTAAATCATAAATAATCACAGTACTAACATGAGTAAACATACAATCTTTCAGTCATATGCAGAGCCAAACACATCCATCAATCCATCCATTATATTCCCCTTAATCCAATTCTGGGTCGGGCGGGTGGCAGTCAGAGCTGCACCCAGTACACAGAGCACCAGCCCCTCACTGATGCTCCTGGAGGTGGTGAGTCCACAGGAGCTGAGATCTTTCAGTGGGGGCTTCAGGCAAAGTGGGGTTAAGTGTCTTGACAACGACAGCAGACATCAGTGGGAGTCGAGAAGTAGGTCTTACGGTGGGCTCGAACCCACGACCTTCAGGCCCAAAGGCCAATGCTCTACCAACTGAGCCACTGTCGGCTGACATTGTTGTGTTTTGAGCTAAACACAATTGTTCTTGATTTGAATTTCAACATTTTAACAATAGAAGCCTCTTTCAATTTTGAGTTTTATTTTAGCTACACAAATCTGAAATGTTGCCTTCCCATGTTTAGTCCTGACTCTTGGCACTAGCAGGCCAGTCCCCGTGCTCCTCAGAGTTCCAGCAAGAGGCCAGTCCCTGTGATCCTATCACAGATGTACTTTGGTGCAAAGCCATGGAGAGATTTGTAAAAAGCAGAGCTGATTTTAAGTCTATTCTCTAAACCACAGAAAGCCAATGCAGAGACCAGGAACTTGACTAATGTGAGTGTACTGTACTTCCTGGTTCTAGTTAGGACTTGAGCTGCAGTGTTTTGAATATACTAAAGTTGATTTACAGCTTGTTTTGAGAGGCCAGTGAGCATGCCGTTAGAGTAGTCTACAACTATCCAGTCGATAAGTTTGCCAAACATCAATAATTCTCTTCAAACAGAGATATTTTAAGCACATACATTTGCAATGCACGTGAAGCATAACAAAAGTGTATTGATAAACTATGACCTTGTAAAGAGAGAAAAAAAAAAACGTCCCCTTTTGAAAACTTTTGCACATTAATAACAAAGGCAACACACATGCCAGATAATAAATGTTTTGTTGAAAAACCTCAGAAAGGAGAAAGTCAAAGTCGGTGCTACTTTCCCAACTCTATCGTACATTATTATTTTGCTTAATGAGGAGAATCGAAGAAGCATGGATTTCCATGACAATAGAGAGGCCGGGTGATGTTCGCAAAATGTGTCTCTTGCCAATAATACATTTTAATTAGTCGATGCGCACGGAGCAGCTGGCCTTATTGAAGCCGTGAGTCAGCAGAGACGACCTCAAAGGGGCTTTTCACAGAATACACAATGTGCGCGTGACCTTACAGCGGGGTGAGGTTGTGGTCCAATATACGAAGCAGCGAGGAATGATTTTGTCACTGAAATAACATGTCGCCACTGTAGCTACATGTCAATTTCCTCCCACATGCCAATGCGTCTTGGTGACCGCTCGATGGCCGCGATCCATGCGTGTGCATTTGTTGACCTATAGAATGCTTCCAATCTAAATGTCAATGAGACCTTGGACTGTAACGGCCACATAGGTCCTTTCCATAGGTTCGCTCAGGAGGGGTGAAACTTTTTATTTTACAAACTTTCATGTTTACCAGGTCTGTTCTGTGTCATTTACATTTGTTGTCAATTAGTATTATTACTGTATTGTTGGGGTTTTGCGGGACTCTATGTGAAAGTGTCCGGCACGGGCGCGGGGGCGCGCATGGTCTGCGCCGATTTTGAGCAGGGCCAGCACCTTTACCTGGAGGACCCGTTTCCGCGGATTATAATCCCTTGTGAAGTGATTTAATTGTTGGATTACCGAGACTGTTTGGGATCTAACGACACTCTGGATTATCACCCCATGGTCGCTGCTGGGCTCCAGGACCAGTTTTGGTGGACCGTGGTGCATGTGCGCGGGCCGTGAGTAGATATTGAGAGCAGCACTGTTGTTTGTGAGTGTGTTTTTGATTTATTGTGTAGGATCGCGCTCGAGCGTGGGGGGTGGGGGGTTTGGCCTTTCATACTGAGAAGTTCATCAGTAATAAATAGCCAGTTTTGGGCCAAATGCATGTTCTGTACCTGTGCTTATTTCACCCCGCTGGTTTGACCATCTCCTATTTAAAGCGTTGTAGCTCTGTCGCCTTGGAAGAGATAGGCGAAGTGTTACAAGACCTTGACCCTTTTGCTAGTAACCTTTGAAAACAATAGTTTTTTTCTCAACAGAAACTTAAAGGCGTGATTTATTTTTTATTTTTTTGGGAGGAATGGTTCAGTTTGTATTTTTTGAATACTTGTCAGAAAGAGCCCTTAAACTAATAATAATAATGATAATTTAAAAATAATAGATACAAAATTATAATATAATGCATCAGTTTTAAACAGTACTTTTTTTGGACACTAAAAAAACGCATCACGATTTGATTAACTACTATTGTAGCCACAGCTGTCCTGGGAAGGAATGGCGGAACTATCTGTCCCTCCAACCACAACCACTAATTCAAGCACACATCAGACTCTTGCTATAAGCAATGAGGGTGAAGTGTGCAGTTTGGCACTTTATGGCCACAACCTGATAAACCTAATGACAATAAACTGAATGAGGGAGGCTGCTTAGACTGTTGCCCCCACGACCCGGCAACGGATAAAGCAGAAAAAGTAAATGAATCTACTGAAATTTGTTTGTTTCTCTCATTTTGATGTGGGAAAAGGATATATATATTTTTTTTTAAATGGACAAAAATATGTTATATCTAGATTTTGTGTTTCATTTTTGTAATAATTTCTCAGTTTGAGTAATAAATCAAATCTTGCAGCACTTACATGTGTCGGTATATGTGGAGTAGTTGTCAATTATTGAAAAAAATCTATTTGTGATTAATGATTACATATATTAATAATAATATACAGTGTAAATTACAGTGTAAGTTTGCTCGCGCTAAAGTCTAAGGCCGATAGACAATTGTATGATTTTCTTTTTATTGCACCATTCTACTAATGTTTTCCAACTCTTTATATTTTTGTTCTTAATTGTAGCAGCGCTCCCGTTAAATCCACATCCAGGGATTCTTTCCTCTTTCATGGAGTGTGTTTCGAATGAATGAATGTTGCTCTCTCTTGTGTCATTTTCGTACAGCAGCCAGTTACATTATAAACAAATGTATATAGATCATGTGAGACTCCTGTCTGCAGGGAAGCTTGTATATCCATATTGTATTAGCTGTGTTTGTTTTTTTTATTTCCCATTAGCTGAAACCCCATTAGTGCAGGTGCATGCCGATAACTAATTGATTTAATTTCCCATACCATCACCAT